GACACTTTTGGAGATACCTGTAGTGCACCTTTATAGTCACCCAGTTACGTTGTGACGTTTGATACACCCAAAGCACTCTTACGGTATCCGGGAGTTACACGATCTCATGGTCTAAGGAAGAGATACTTGACATTGAAAAAGCTCTAGCAAAACGAACTACACGATCTTGTGCTATGCTTAGGATTGGGTCTTGTCCATCACATCATTCTCCTAATGATGTGATCCCGTTGTCAATGACATCTAATGTCCATAGTCAGGAAACCATGACTATCTGTTGACCAACGAGCTAGTCAACTAGAGGCTCACTAGGGACATGTTATGGTCTGTGTATTCACACGTGTATTACGATTTCCGGATAATACAGTTATAGCATGAATAAAAGACAATTATCATGAACAAGGAAATATAATAATAACCCTTTTATTATTGCCTCTAGGGCATATCTCCAACAGGATCAAGGCGCTCTTGCAAAGAGCGTGTGCATGTTCGATCTACGTGAATGTTCCATATGAGCATGGAGGCCTATCAGCGGTTCAGCTCTCGGTGATCAAGTGAAGGGCAGACAGGGTTCTACCGGCAGCTGCCTCTACTCATCGAAGTGAGGCCACCCCGGTGGGGAGACAAAGGATGCAGCAGGGCTGGCAAGCGGCTACACCGGGATTGACAGTGTAGCGGGCTATGCTTGAAGCCGGTGTGGCAGATCCTATTCAGACAGCGAGATGGGAGTGCGTCACAAGGATTCTATCACGCCAATTCAGGCCAGTTTAGTCTCTGCATGCATGTCAGGAGTCATGTCAGAGTATTTGGGAGAGCCTTTGAACTAATCTTGTAATTATCTATGATAGTGGTGTTTATGTAGTTTGCTCTATCCATGTCATTGTAGTTCGCTCTATGCTTGAACTATTTATGTCAGTGTACCTTGGATGGCCAATGTATTCCAAGGTGACTTTGATCCCTCTTGTTCAAAATTGATCCATCATTTTTTATTCACAGTTGACCGCACAAATGGTTTCAAACATAACCATTGTGAAATCCATCACCTTTGGTTTCAAACATAACACCATGCGTCACTCAATGCAATCCATTTGACCTCAATGCATACATCTAGCAAGGCCAGTGCCAAAATGCTAAAACTTCCTGGTAATTTTAAAACTTCATCATGTGGATCAAACATAACACATGCATCACTCAAACATACCATCGAGCATGCCAGTGCCAAAAATTTAAACTACATACCAAGTTATCAGGATTCAAACTAAATCAAACATAACAGCATTCATCAACTACTCACAATCATTACTACTACATCTCAAGTTCTCATGATTCAAACTTAATCATACAAAACATAGATAGTTCTCCAGGTACCATTGTTGACATAGATATTCATTAGGCACCACACATAGCAAAAGGTGATTCGAACTGCATCACTACATCATTCATCACAAATTCGATTGATCCTCTTTAGCTTGCTCTTAGATCACCCCCACCATCTGAAACTAGGTCAGAAATGCCATACTCCAGCTTCTTCTCCTTGAACATGCTCTCTCTTTCTTCAAGTTTCTGATCACACCTTCTTGGGCAACCTAAATTGACTTCAGCTGGACAATAAGATTATTGAGCCTCTTATTCTCTTCGTCCATCTCAGCCCTGTCTTTATCAGCTTGTTCTTTCCTATTATGATCTCCATTCCCCCTACTTATCCTATGCAAGTTCATGTTTTCCACCCTCTGCTCTGTTTGGTCCATTATGTTACTGCCATCCTCATTAAGCTTATCAAATTGCTCGTCTAGCTTCTTTTTCGCGCATGAAGATGGGAATTGATCTACATTTGATCAAGTTTGTCTTTAATTTCTTGTTTATTGGTCTACTCATACCTATCCCAGAGCCCTGCAGAGCCTTCTTGATTGAGTCAGGCCACTCCTGATGAATCCATTCCACAAGTTCACATTTTATACCTCTCTACATATTGCAATAAAAAACAAGTTAGCTCGTAACTCATCTATGTCATTAACTAAAAGTTATCTTTTTTGCTCTATCATACAAATAGATAACTTTGTTGTATTACTATAAATTGATTTACACATTAAATACTAATGATGAGCACATGAATAATCCTATTCTACATAGTGAGTGAGAAGCATGAGAAAATAAAATACTTGTATCGTATTTTATTTTATTTTATAAACAATGACCGTGCCCATGATAAAATTGACACCTTTATCCTAGTCGATATCGGAACAGTGAGTGGTTTACAGAGGAATACCTATGGGGTAGGCCCACAGATACATAATGGGCTAGCCAAGGATCCGGGCCCATCAAAGATACGGACCAAAAGGTAATGAGCCATGGGGTAACACATTATGCCCATTGAAGTTACAACCCAACATATCAAAAGCTAGGGCTTCTTCACCAACGAACTAAGTGTTTACAATCAGATCCTACACTCCGTGACGGACGAGTACCAATGGTGGTCATCACCAAGACGGGAGCAGTCGGTTGCCCTACAATCGGTTGCGCCCTAGGATACGTACCCATGATCTTCATGATGCCTTCAATGCTGCCGTTACTTAACGGGAACTCGTAGTGTGTACAGAATTTCCGAACACAACCACCGCCTCCTCTTCAAGGAAAAAGCTTAGGGTTCTTATGCCTTCCATTGATGGCCGTAAGACTATGGAGGCACGGTGGACCCCCAGCCATAGCCGGCCTCTTACTCTGTTTTAGGTGTTTTCTGAGCTCATTTATGATTTGCATCCTGCTTAGGAAGACGAGGCGATGACGCCTCCCTAAAGATGGAATAAGATTCTCCTCGTCTAGCCCCCATTCTGCTGATGCGTTTAACATTGTCGGAGGGCGTGTTGAGAGTCTTCGACGGATCTCGTGGAATTTGGTTGGTGCTTGTCTTCGGTGGATCTGCTTAGATCCAATCTTTGTGTGTCTTCATTTATGTGTCTATAGGTTGTATCATTTTGATCTATACTTCTCTTCATCAGCGACTATTGTTGTTCTAATGCCCTAGCCCCGTGTGGTCTTAGCATGATGACTTCCCGAACTGCCTACTTCAACAAGTTTGACCCGGTTCAAGTGAGGGAGGGGCGATGACGGCGGCACGCCTTCGACTCGCTCTAGTGCTCGTAGTCGTCGCTAGGTGGTTTATAAACATGGATGTGATTTTTTGTTATTTATTTACTACCATGGCAGGTGATGAATGGATCGAAAGTTATCTTTGGGAAAAAAAATGTGTACATAGTTTCACGCAGGCGCAGCGTGAGCATTGTCACGTCGGAGGCAAAGGAGAAGAAGCGAAGCAATGGAGAAACGGACAGGGATGATGATAAGCGATATGGATATATGCTGAATCATCTGGCATGCGTGCGCACGCGGCGGCGGCCACGAAACGAACTGGTAGGATATACACAAGCACAGGACGCGGAGAAACGAACGACGAACGCAAAAGGTAGGTGGGTGCGTGGACGACTGCGCGCTGGAAGCGGCTCATTGGCCGAGTGGTGGACTCGTCCAGAGCTCCGTCCGACGCATAGCAGCAGCGTCTTGGATAACCCGGAGTACTGCCCAACTTTCCGTTTTTCTGTTTGAATTGATGTGGCTTGGCTTTGCTTCCGACGGCACAACCGTCTCCCGTTGGCCACGGCAGCCGAGCCAACCGTCCACGTCGAAAGCATTCCAAGACCAGCCAACACTTCTTCCCAGCTCTTCTCAAAACAAAAACAAAAACAAAAAAATCACTTCTTCCCATCTCTAGCTTTGTTTGTAGGCCTTGCTGTCAAGTGCCTCTAGCTTGTGGCTCTCACAACTTTGTTCAATGAATCCAATATTTGACACTGGAGCCCCAATGCTTGAAACTACATACAGAATTCCATGGCAAAGATACAGTACACAGCATCAGGCAGCCCATGAGGACCGGCCGATCAGTCCGGAGTTCAACTAGAGAAAAGCTCGAGAAGGGAGCTTCCTGATCTACAGCACTTGCTTGGTTTACAGATACAGAGTACCGAGTGAAGTACTCCATATCATCAGCTACAAGAGTGGGCTTTGCTCCAAAACTTTGATTCATCAGACCGCGCTAAGCTCTCTTCTTCTAATTACTCCTGCTATCTCCAGCTGCAACGGCGGACATTTGCAGTCTAACTTCAGTTTGTCTGCCGGCTGACTTGAGCTGCAAAGGTTCTGAAGATACATGAGTAATATTAGTTCAAGTTTTATTACTAGACCACTACAAGGCTGTTACTAACCATACAAAATTTTGCAAGCATCACACTATACACATGAACAATTTAATTATATGTGACAGAGAATTCGCACTCAAAACTATTTGCATGGACAATGTAGTTATATATTTATATGTAACAGAGAATGGGCCCTCAAACTATAATATGGAATCTATTTTTAAACAAAAATATATAATTTGTTCCCTGTTTCAAACTTTGACAAACACACGGTAGCCAACTGGTTATGCCACATACACCTACACACCATATCAGTCAGCACCGCAATGGGACCATCCAAATCACTCCTAGGGACCATAGGTGCATGGAATTACGCGTTGCAAGGAAAAACGAACGGTTTAAGAATTTGGACCAAATTCCAAATCTACACTCAACCAATAGTCAAGGGACTGTCAGACATGACGAGATATTCAAGTCTAGTTCAAAAAGCAAAGTGCCATATTGCTTCAGAAAGGGAGATCAAGCTTATGAAGATTCATTGTTATCAAAATAGGGCAAGCCATGTCTTTAGCAAATTTTGCTCCAACGTACTGCATGCTGATAAGCTGTAGTCCAATTGAAAATTCCAGTTTGGACCATCCCTCTGGAAACCCTATTTGATGAAATGAATCTCTTTCCAGCAAAAAAATGGGGGGCTAATATTAACTTTTCCAAATATGTACGCGTTTAACAGAGATCCAGATAAGTATGGCAAGCAAAGTAACTCACCAAAAAAAGTTTCTACAATCATTGTAGATACCAACCATATCACAACTAGCAAGCATGATAGGTGAAACAGCAGCTGAAAGGCTTGCTAGTCCTTCTCAAGGATGCCTTCTTGGTTGCCCTCACAGCACACTGATCTTCACTGACAGCACACTGATCCTCACTGACAGAAACTGTAGTGCGCATGCCTTGTGCTTTCTTTTGAGCAGAACGTAGTTTGCCCAAAATTCTATCCATCGATGATGACCTCTTCTTTTCAAGCTTCATCTGTAATACAAAGGGCAGAACATGTAAGTCTGTAGCCAAAGCATAGAAACATTAGAAATAATGCAAACATGGCTGATTGTGTACAACCAGAAACAATACCTCCAACTTCCGAATTGCTGCCTCTGCTTTTGCTTTCTGCAGATTTTCCCAAGCAGTGATCTTTGCTTCCTCTCTCTTGCACCTTGACAAAAAAAATACTAGGTATCAGCAACACGACATATGTCATAATTTGTGTCCTTAACTAGAAGTTAATGTTCAATAGTAACTGAGGACGTCAAAACATTATTATCTTGTGTACAGTTGGAAAAACAGGACCATCACTTAGACTGCATAGCAAACAACTAAAAGTATGATTTCTATGAATCATAGAAATCTAGGATTCACACACTGTAAGCGCATATCTAGTCCATAAATCAATTGCACCCCATTGGTGCCGATTTCTCCTTTTCATTATTTGCCAGTTGCTACCTTACTAATTAGAGAAAAATAACCTTTCACAATCTATGTCCTCCTATTCTAAAGATGGGAACCCTCTGGAATTTACTTACCAGAAGGGAACCTGTAATAAGTGATCTTATGACATCATAAAACACCTTCAAGCACTGAATTAAATTTGTAACCTGATATGTACCAGTTTGATGAAGAAAGAAACTGGGTAAATTGCAATAAGGTAACTTTTGGAGTGTGTCATTTCAGTCGCAGTATTTGCATGTTACTCCGGCTAAATTTGCAACTTCAAATTTTGGAAGTTCGTCCAACCCACAGTTGACTGTCGATTGCTTATTCAGTTAGCCCACTAAGAACATGTCACAAGTAGCATATCAGGAGGCCGCATAGTAGCTAGATCTATACTCGGTTTGCAACGGCTACCATATTTAGCTCATTACCCTTCCTATACATATGCATTCTGTACACTGTCAGGCATACAGCCAGATTAGCTTGGCACTGTAGGATGACCTTTTCATTAATCACAACAAACATTTCCAGAAAAGCAAGTCATCTGTGGAACTCTTGCTGGGAACTCTGACAGCAGGATGGGTATAAGTTTAACAGTTATAACACTACAGTGAAAGCACTCTCTTCTCTGCGCATGCCTTCGTGCTAATCCAAATCAGTTTACTTGTAAACAAAATGGCAAACATGAAGTAAGAACTTACTTTGATATGCATCTTTCTCTTTCTTTTTCATCAAAAGATGGAGCCCGGGCCTCTGTAGTCTTCTTCCTCCATTCAACAATATTTGTTGATCGCTTATCAGAGCCTCGTGTTACATGTCGCTTGGACCACCGGGTAACAGTTACTTGATCATCTACCTGCACATCCCTAACTTCAACCTTAGGTGTATGACTATTTGATTCTCTAATAGCATGTCCTGACGGCAAGCTGGAGCAGGAATGCCTCGCTTTTGGGGAGGACGATATTATACTGTCATCAGGACTCATTTGTGTGGCAACATCTTTCTTTATGATTGGACTGGAAATCACAGGAGTTGCTCCTTGTTGGCCTTGTAAGACATCATCTGTGTACAGGGTATAAGATAGTAAGGCTGATTTCTCTCAACGTTGAAGATCATTTGAGCATTACAGGTTAAAATAAACTCGAAACTAGTTTATTTGAGCAGGAAAAGTAGATAACTATGGCACACGATAGCGTTGTTTTAGGTTTCTAAACTACTGCTATTCGTCTGGTTTTTTTAAGGGGCAAATAACAGACTTCTTGCACCCTACCATTCATATATATGATTGTGGGAAAGCCTTTTTGAATGTCCAAACTATGTAAACCAAAAGTGATGTATGATTTGAGGTACACGACGATTGCAGGGTTGAAATGTAGAATCTGCTAATTGTTCAACTTCAATGTATTGGCATGTGTAGGAGTTCTATCTTATGATCGAATCCGTACGTTATATGAGTATCTTCTCTTGTTGCATCTAATCAGGCAGATAAAATGTGAAGTAGCAAAAATGTGCTTGATACTGATGAGAAGAAACTAGCTCAAACCTTGTGCAGCTTCCTCTGAGATATGAGCAAAGGCAGATGCCTCCATAAGTGTTTCTGTCCACGCGTGTGTACTTGCTGATCTCCATATATACGGTTCCTTCTCAGCCGAATACGACCTACTGCTTCCATCATCCCCACTTCTGGCTCTCCCACTGCTGAAGTCACCGTTGCGCGCGTGCCCTGGCATGAGAACCCCGGCAGAGAAAGGCGAATGAGCCGCAAAATTAGCGGCCGCCAGAACACCATCGAAGCAGGGAATCATCGGCGAAACAGATGCATAAGCTCCTGGAACACCAGCAGGGTGACCAAGCGGCCCACTCTTGGACTTTGGCCGTCTATGATGCGGCGCCGGTGCCGACATCCTCCCCATCCCATCACAGGAAACCGGGCTCAGGATCCACTTCTCGGCGTCCTCCCATTTCGACGGCAGCTTCCTCCCATTGTTGAAAGGGAGCACGACCCCGCTGCCCCCATACCTCCTGTTGGCGCCTGCCCCCAGCGGCACCCGCTCCGAGCTCCAGCCCTTGGGGTACTGCATGTTGCCAGCGCAATGCCGGTTGTAGTTGGGCGTCCCGGGGCTCGGAAACGTGCCTGATCTGCTTCTGGACGACGCGGTCGAGCTCTTGCTCATCCCTCCCACGGCAGCCCCGAGCAAGCACCTCGGCGAGAGCACGAGCAGCTCGATCCCCCCGAACGCGTCGCCGTTGCCGAGCTCATGCGCGGGCGCCGGCGGCCGCGCCTCCGCCCTGCGCTGCAGCTGCTTCTGGCACTCTGCTGAACAGCCAACAAACAGTAAGCAATCACTTCACTTCACTCGACACCAAAGGCATCATGTAGAGCGGGAGGGGAGTGGATTACCTTTCAGCGAGTGGGAGAAGGAGTCGCCGGCCGCCGCCTCCTCCAAGCCCGCCGCGTCGTAGCCTCCCTCGTCCTCGTCGTCGTCGCCGTCCTCGCCTGCGCGCGTGTGAAAGGGGTTAGCTGCCGCGACGGCAGGAGGAGACAAAATGCGGAGCGTGCTGGGCACTGGGATCGCTTGACCCACCTCTGGGAGCTGTGGCGCGCGAGGCGTGGCTGCCGCCGCGGGGGTGGAGGAGGCCCGGATCTGGATCGGCTGCACCGCGTGGCCCCTCCGGCGGCTGCAAAAGGAGCCAAACAAAGGGAGCGTCCCTCTCAGCAAACCGAAATCCGGGACGGAGCACCGACCCACCGAGCAAGCTCGGGCAGGGCACGGCACAGTCACCGCCAAACAGCGAACGGGAAAAAAGGCGACGCAACGGAACAAAAGAGCCAGCAATGATAGAAAAGCGACGACGCAGGCCGTGGCCACGCACGCGGTAGCCCCGTTCGAATTTCTTTTGGCCTTATCCCTTGCTTACGCGGAGTGTTTCGACTTTCGAAGTTCGACTGCCCTCGGCGGCGGGCATGTGCGGCGACGTGCTCTGGATTGGATCTATTGACTCGCAGCAGTAAAATAATCCGGCGAGCGGCCGGCCTGAGACGGCAATGTGGACGCAATGAGGAAGAGGGATAGATAGGGGGGAGAGGGTTTTTACCGCGGGTGGCGTTGGCGGTGCGGGGCGCCTTCGGCGCGGCGGCGGCTTCTTCCGCCGGGAGGACGGAGGGTGGCGGCGCTCGGGCGCTGGGTCGGCGGCTGCGGCGGGGAACCCTAGCCCGGGCGCGGCGCGTGGCATGGTCGGCCGCGCGGCCGCATTCCCCGAGGACGGCGCCAGTGCGGGGGCAGTTGAGTGGAGCGGGGCGGGGTGCGCGGGGCTTCCCTCTCTCTCCGCGGATTAAAAATGGCGCGTGGGTGGGAGGCAGGAAGATGATGCTCTACTACTTCCTCCACATTCCTTCCTCGGTGGGTCTTGTACTTTTGTTCTCGGGCCGGGCCCGGGCCGGCCGTGCGAGCGCCCGACGAGATGCGCACGGGCCGGCCGCCGTGGGTGCTCCTCCTCCTGCGCCGACGGAGAGAGTACGGCGAAAACTTCCCGCCGTCACGTTTCACATTCGATTTTGTTTTTTCAGTGCACTGCTCCTTGCTACACAGTACACACCGACGCGACGCTCATGGGCCCCACCCGCCTCGCCCTCGCTGCAGCGGCAGCGGGCCTGGCCCGGCTGACGGACGGACGGACGAACTCGTGGGTGGGCTACGCGCCGTCCGGTGTCAGCCTGAGCCTGCTCGCGCGGGGCCCGGCGGCGTCGGAGCAGCTTTGACTTGGCGCGAATCTTTCCTGACCGATCGACTGTTCATACTAGTACTACCGCGTTGCGTTTACACCCAACCCAACCTCCTCTCTCACGCACGTGGTAGGCGGCCCCGCGCGTCAGCGGAATGTCACGTGAGGTGGTGGTCCGGGGGCAGCTGCACGGCCGCACACGGGACACCGGACACGGCACAGCGCAAGGAATGGCCCAGGGGGGCTAAGCGATAAAACTAGACTGTTGTCTCGTTGGAACTGCCAGTGCACTGCCATTGCCATGGCCATGCTCGCCAGCCAGGTGCGGCAGCCGCGTGCTGTGTCCTGTGTACTGATGGCTGCCACTGCCGCGCTGCCGCTGGCCAACCATCATCTTTGTTTTTCAGTGACTGCTTTTCATGGTAAACTCACTCGCTCACTCTCCTCCTCCTTTTTTTTACTACAAAAACTTTCGGCGATAGGCCATAGGGTTGAATTAGCATGTCTGATCTACTGGTATAACAACACTTTTAGCCTGCTTGCTCCTGTAATTTGCATGCTTTGTGCTAGCAGATGTCAGGTTAAAGCTCACGGTCTAGGGAAATGTGGCATTATTGAACTCGTGTTCCCTGCGGCGCGTTGGGCGGCGGCGCTTTTAAGGTCGGTCGGGGTCACGTAGCAGTGCGGCGACCATCAATGGTGGACTCACTAGCGTCGCCGGTGGCGAACTAGCCAGCAGTGCGCGCGCGCGCGACGGACGCAATCAAAGCCATGGCAGGCTCGTTCCTTTCTCCCTGTACCGACCGTGTCTGATGATGATCACCCGTCGGCTCGCTCGTCCTGGCTTCAGTGGCTTGCACCGGTGCCCTTTTCGTGTCGCAGCAAATGCTGCGGTGCCGCACCGGTCACGGCTGGCTGGTGTGGTGTGATGTGATGCGACAGCATGAGCAGACATTGATGGACTAATAATTGTACCTGAACCCATCATGTTTTGTGTGTGTGTGTGTGTTTTGTTTTGTTCTAGTACTAATGGATTTGTGGATGGTGATTAAATATAGACGGCCCAAATCTGTGATCGCATCACTGAATGGATTAGTAAAAGGTTGTAACGGTCATCTGATTTTTGTACATGTACTCTTTGGTACTTGTACGTATTATTATAATAGTACTTCCTCCGTTTCGAAATATTTGTCTTTCTAGAGATATCAACAAGTGACTACGTACGGAGCAAAATGAGTGAATCTATACTCTAAAATATGTCTCATACATTCGTATGTTGTGTCCATTTGAAATGACTACAAAGACAAATATTTGAGAACGGAGGGGGGCACCGCACACGGCTAAGAGATCAATGATCAATTGTTGTTGTGCCTAGAGGTGCCCCCTTGCCCCCGTATATAAAGGATCAAGGGGGAGGGGGCGGCCGGCCAAGAGGAGGCGCGCCAAGGAGGAGTCCTACTCCCACCGGGAGTAGGATTCCCCCCCTTCCAAGTAGTAGGAGTAGGAGTCAAGGAAAGGGGGAAGAGAAGAGAAGGAAGGAGGGGGCGCAGCCCCTCCCCCTAGTCCAATTCGGACTAGGCCTTGGGGGGCGCCCACCTCTCCTCTCTCTTTCCCCTAAAGCCCAATAAGGCCCATATACTCCCTGGCGAATTCCCGTAACTCTCCGGTACTCTGAAAAATACACGAATCACTCGGAACCTTTCCGAACTCCGAATGTAGTCGTCCAATATATCGATCTTTATGTCTCGACCATTTTGAGATCCTCGTCATGTCCCCGATCTCATCTGGGACTCCGAACTCCTTCGGTACATCAAAACTCATAAACTCATAATATAACTGTCATCGAAACCTTAAGCGTGCGGACCCTACGGGTTCGAGAACAATGTAGACATGACCGAAACACGTTTCCGGTCAATAACCAATAGCAGAACCTGGATGCTCATATTGGCTCCCACATATTCTACGAAGATCTTTATCGGTCAAACCGCATAACAACATACGTTGTTCCCTTTGTCATCGGTATGTTACTTGCCCGAGATTCGATCGTCGGTATCTCAATACCTAGTTCAATCTCGTTACCGGCAAGTCTCTTTACTCGTTATGCAATGCATCATCTCGTGACTAACTCATTAGTCACATTGCTTGCAAGGCTTATAGTGATGTGCATTACCGAGTGGGCCCAGAGATACCTCTCCGACAATCGGAGTGACAAATCCTAATCTTGAAATACGCCAACCCAACAAGTACCTTCGGAGACACCTGTAGAGCACCTTTATAATCACCTAGTTACGTTGTGACATTTGGTAGTACACAAAGTGTTCCTCCGGTAAACGTGAGTTGCATAATCTCATAGTCACAGGAACATGTATAAGTCATGAAGAAAGCAGTAGCAACATACTAAACGAACAAGTGCTAAGCTAACGGAATGGGTCAAGTCAATCACATCATTCTCTCAATGATGTGATCCTGTTAATCAAATGACAACTCTTTTGTCCATGGCTAGGAAACATAACCATCTTTGATAAACGAGCTAGTCAAGTAGAGGCATACTAGTGACACTCAGTTTGTCTATGTATTCACACATGTATCATGTTTCCGGTTAATACAATTATAGCATGAATAATAAACATTTATCATGATATAAGGAAATAAATAATAACTTTATTATTGCCTTTAGGGC